GAAGGCATAGAAACTTCTTCTTATACTCCCAGCCCCACACACATACAGCCTCCCCCACCATCAACATCCCCACCAGAGTGGTACACTTGTTACAGTCGATGAACCTACACCGGCATGTCATTATCACTCCACTTACTCCATTTACATTAGGGTTCACTGTTGGTGCTGTACATTGCACGAGTTTGGACAAATGTATAATGACGTGAATCCATCATTATAGTATCAGACAGAGTAGTTTCACTGCCCTAAAATCCTCTGTGCTGCACCTGTTCATCCCTGCCTCCCCCTAACCCTTGGCAGCCACTGACCTTCTTACTGTCTCTATAGTTTTACTTTTCCAGAATGTCACATCACTGGAATCATAGAATGTATAAAATATGTTGGTTTCTTTCGCTTAGAAACATGCATTTAAGCTTCCCTCGTCTTTTCATGGTTTAATAGCTAATTTATTTTTAGTGCTGAATAGTATTCCTTATATGAATTTATCAGTTTATTTATTCATTGACCTACTGAAGGGCATTTAGGTTGCTTACAAGTTTTGGCAATTATAAATAAAACTGTTGTAAACATTCCAATGTGTGCAGGTTTTTGTGTGAAAATAAGTTTTCAACTCACTTGGGTAAATAGCAGGAGTGTGATGCTGGATGGTATACTAAGAGTATGTTAGGTTTTATTTTTTAATTTTTTAAAAAACATATTTTTATTGATTTCAGAGAGAAAGGGAGAGGGAGAGATACAAACATCAATGATGAGAGAGAATCATTGATCGGCTGCTTCCTGCACACCCCCTACTGGGGATCAAGCCTGCAACCTGGGCATGTGCCCTGACCAGGACTCGAACCATGGCCTCCTGGTTCATAGGTTGATGCTCCACCACTGAGCCATGCGGGCCAGGCTGAGAGTATGTTTGGTTTTCTATGACACTACCAAATTGTCTTCCAAAGTGGCTATACCATTCCATTCCCCGCAGCACTGAATGAGAGTTCCTATTGCTCCACATCCTCACCAGCGTTTGGTGTTGTCAGTGTTTTGAATTTTGGCCATTCTAATAGTTGTGCAGTGGTACCTCATTTTAATTTGCAATTTCCTAATGACATATGAACATCTCATGTGCTTTTATAGCATCTGTATATTTTATTAGATGAGGTTTCTGCTCAGGTCTTTTGCCCATTTTTTTCAGTTGGCTTGTTTATTTCCTAGTTGTTGACTTTTGAAAGTTATTTGCCTGTTGTGGATAAATAGTTCTTTATGAGCATTAAGCGTAATGTTAGTTTTAGGTTTTTGTAGATGTGATTTTTCAAGTTGAGAAAGTTCTCCTCTATTTCTTGGTTGCTGAGAGTTCATCATGAATGGGTGTTTGATCTTATCAAATGCTCTTTTCTGCATCGATTGATAGGATTATGTGATTTTCATCTTTTGCCTGTTAATGTGATGGGTTACGTTAATTGATTTTCAAATGTTGAACTAGCCTTGCGTACCTGGGACAAATCCCATCGGATCATAATACATTATTGGATTCAATCTGCTAAGACTTTGTTGAGGGTTTTTACCATTACATAGAGGAAAGAATCTCAGAACTTAACGATATGTCAATAGAAACTTCCAAACAGAAAAAGACAAAAGGCTGAAAAAAGGTCCTTTGTCATTATGTAATGCTCTGTATAATCCCTAATCACTTTCCTTGTATGGAAGCCTTCTTTGTGTGAAATTACTATAGCTGCTCCTTAATTTTTTTAAAATTAGTGTTAGCATAGTATATCTTTATTTATATCTTTAGTTTTAATCTGTATGTGTATTATAATTCAAGTGCATTTCTTGTAGACAACACATAGTTGGGTCTTACTTTTTGATCCTTTCTGACAAGCTCTTTTAATTGGTATATTTAGACCAGTGAGGTTTAAAGTGATTACTGGTATAGTTGAATTAAGAACCATGGTTTTGCTACTGTTTTTTATTTAATGCCCCTTTTCTTTGTCCCTGTTTTTGTCTTTCATTCTTTCTGCCTTTTGTGGTTTTAATTGAACATGTTACAAGATTCCATTTTCTCTTAGCATATCAGTTATTCTTTTTTACTTATTTTAGTGGCTGCCCTAGAGTTTGCAATATGCATTTACAATCCATTCCACTTTCAAATAACACTCTATTGCTTCATGGGTAGTGCAAATAGCTTATAATAACAAAATAATCCTAATGCTTTCCTCCCACTTCATGAATTATTGCTGTCATTCACTTCACTTATACATAAGCATATATATTTATGTGCATGATATGTATAAGCACCATAATCAAATACATTGCTGCTATTATTTTTAAAACTGTTATCTATTTGATCAATTAAGAATAAGAAAAAAATTTTTATTTTAATGTCACTTATTCCTTCTTTGATGCTCTCCCTTTCTTTATGTAGATCTGAGTGTCTGACCTACATCATTTTCCTTCTCTCTGAAGAACTTCTTTTTAACATTTCCTGCAAGGCAGGTCTACTGTCAACAAATTCCCCATCATTTTGTCCGAGAGTCTTTATTTCTCCTTCATTTTTGAAAGATAATTTCACAGGGCACAAAATTCTATGTTGCTGTTTTCTCTCAATACTTTAAGTATTTCTCTTCACTCTCTTCTTGCTTGCATGGCTTCTGAGAAGCAGGGTGTACTTTTGATCTTCACTCCTCTATAAGTAAGGTGTTATATCCTTCCGGCTTCTTTCACAATTATTTTTCTTTATCTTTGATTTTCTGCAGTTCATATATGTTATGCCTAAGTGTAGTTTGTTGTTGGTCTCTTGTTTTTGTTTTGGTAATTTATCCTACCTGGTATTCTTGGAGATTCCTGGATCTATGCTTTGGTGTCTGACATTAATTCAAGGACATTTTCAGTCATTTTTGCTTCAGATATTTCTTCTCTCTTTTCGTTCTACTATTCCCATTTGTAGTTGTCCCACAATTCCTAGGTATTCTGTTCCCTTTTTTAAAAAAAGTCTTTTGTCTTTTTTTCTGTTTGGAAGTTTCTATTGACATTTCTTTAAGTTCAGAGATTCTTTCTTCTACTAACGGCCTCCTTCATATCTGCTAGTGTTTTGGTCTCAAGCATTTCCTTTGATTCTTTCTTAGAATTTCAATTTCTCTGCTTAACATTGCCCATCTGCTTTTACATGCTGTCTACTTTATTGCTCAGAGCCGCCCGGCATATTAATTGTAGTTGTTTTAAATGTCTAGTCTGATAATCCCAGCATCCCTGGTTCTGGTTTTGATGCTTGATCTGTCTCTTCACTTTTAGTACACCATGTGATTTTTTTCTTGCTACCGTACTTGATGTGCTAGTTAATAGGAGCTGTAGTGATGGTGCAGTGTTGGGAAGGGAAGGCTCCGTGGTCCAGTGAGGAGATCTGTCTTTCAGTGAGCCTGTGCCTCTGGACTGTGAATTTACAAGTTCAGATTTTTCTCCCTTCGTAGGAGAGGGAGGGCGCTAGAGCAGGCTGGTATTGGGTATTTTTCCTCCCTCAGATCAGTTAGGATCTGATAAAACTATAATAGTTTAGGCTCTGGAGTGCCCTGGAGTATGTCCAATGGTTTCCTTTCCCTTCTTTCTGCAAGAAGCATAAGTAAATCCCCCCCGCCCCAATATTCACCATGGGAACCTGGTAAAACTCACAAAAGTGCGGAACCCCTATGACCAGGTCTGCCTAGAGTTTTTGACCCTCAGACGTGTCCTCTCTGAGACTCCAGCAATTTTCCAATTTCAGTTCAGATTTTCCTACCATGGCACTGGTTCCCACAGAGGCTGTAGCTGGGAGTTTCTGTTCTCATTCACCTTAGTTGCCTGCCTCTCCCATTTTGGGGCCAGTGCTTTGCCCTGTGACTTTCTTATCTAATAAATCCAAGGAGAGTTGTTGATTTTTCAGTTTGTTCAGCTTTTTACTTGTTAGGACAGAATGACTACTTCCAACGCCTTACATGCTGGACTGGAAACCAGAACAGTTTGTTTTCTCCTTTGATGTCCTATACCAAGAACTCAGTGACGTAGGTCAAGTGACATTTCGGCATGGCCTTTGTTCTGTTGAAATTGGATTTTAGGTTTGAAAGGTGCCTTGGAGGTCACCTCATTCAATGTCCTTTTTTTTTTAATATGTGTGGGTTTTTTTGTTTGTTTGTTTGTTTTTAGAGAGGGGAAGAGAGAGGGGGAGAGAGAGAAACATCAATGAGAGGAACAACAACATCCATTGGCTGCCTCCTGCAGACCCCCTGCTGGGAATTGAGCTGGAAACCCCGGCATGTACTCTGACCCAGAATCAAACTAGTGACCTCATAGTGCATGGGTCCATGCTCAACCACTGAGCCACACCAGCCAGGCCAGTATCCTCATTTTCAGGTGACATCTTTTGTATAAAATATATTTTTATTGATTTCTGCAAGGAAGGGAGAGAGAGAGATTAATGATGAGAGAGAATCATTGACCAGCCTCATTCTGCACAGCCCACACTGGGGCTCAAGCCCGCAACCTGGGCATGTGCCCTGACCTGGAATTGAACTGTGACCTCCTGGTTCATAGGTCGATGCTGAACCACTGAGCCACGCTGGCTGTGCTCAGATGACATTTTAATAGGCTCTATTCGGGGCATTCCTCTCTGGGTAATATTCCCACCTTTCAACAGAGTAATAGAACAGACCGTGTACATGTGACCCCTTTGGGTTCACAATCCAAGTGAACCTTGCTTCAGACAAACCAATTAAATTCTTCCACAGTCAGTGTTCTATTCCCTGAAAGGAAGTGCAAATGTGACATTTATTCAGTTGATAAACAGTGGTTATCTGTGTGTGATGGTTTCATGGATGATTTTAGTTACATGTGATGGGACGATGGGTAATTTTTATTTTCCTCTTTTTGTCTTTCTGCATTTCCCAAATCCTATCAATGCACACGCAGTACTTAACAATTAGAAAGAAAAAAAATTATAGTTTTAGGCCATGAACACTGCGAAGTTTCTCTTCATTGTCTCCTTATAGTCTGCAAGATGAACGTCCACCGACGCTGCGAGACCAACGTGGCTCCCAACTGTGGAGTGGACGCCAGAGGAATCGCCAAAGTCCTGGCAGACCTTGGCGTCACCCCAGACAAAATCACCAACAGTGGCCAGAGGAGGAAAAAGGTAACAGGCCACTCGGTGGTGTTTCTGGAGCTCTTTGTGGGCCCACATCTTGGCGCTGGCTTCCTGGCAGTGCCTTGGAGTGAGGTTACAAGATTGCTGGGTTTGAGACACTGTACTCAAAACAGCACGTGCTTGAAAGGAAAAGAAATAGAGGCCAGGCAGGTAACATTAAAGTCTCCTTCAGTTCCAGAAGCAGGGGGAGCCTCAAGTGTTACGTTTCTCAAGGGAACCTAGAGGAGGACTTTAGAATTTCTTCTAGGACAGTGATTCTCAACCTTCTGGACCTTTAAATACAGTTCCTCATGTTGTGACCCAACCATAAAATTATTTTCGTTGCTACTTCAAAACTGTAATGTTGCTACTGTTATGAATCGTAATGTAGATATCTGATATGCAGGATGGTCTTAGGTGACCCCTGTGAAAGTGTCGTTCGACCGCCAAAGGGGTCGCGACCCACAGGTTGAGAACCACTGTTCTAGAAAAAGCAGGCCAATTGTAGACCAGGAAATAGACGCATCTGCCTCCAGAACTGGCATGAAAGCAATGTCAGTGTTTGCACTTTGCCCTGCTATCACTGCGACGAGGATAAAGGGATGAAGAGCTGGAGCCACATTCTTTTCTAGGGAGCAAGCCAAGATCTGTGATAGCGCCGGCACTCGGCTGCCCGGGGGACATGGTTAATGCCCCATGACATGAAACATCTGGGCTTTTCTTTGCAGACCAAAGCCCTGTCTCTGTCCATGTGACATTCTGAATGTCAGTAGGAAGAGCTCTGTTTGCTAAATTGTTGTTTTGGTAAGTCAGGGCCCACAGATGCAAATAGAGCTAAAGGGTGCCCATGGCATTTGCTTTGAAGGCCCTTTTTTTCCTTGGCTGCTAACCTGGAAAATGTAAGCGATCTTTGAAAAAGTAAGTTATGACAAAATCAGAACCAAGCTAACTGGGCAAGAAAATCCTGGTGGCGGTGGGTGGACAGTGGCCCTCATTGCCCGGCATCAGGCATTCTCAAGCTTTCTTTAGAAAAGCACGTCTAGCTCTGGGTGCCTCTACCATCCTGACCCCTAAGTGTTCTAAATTTTGCCGTAAAACACCTTCTGAAGGGCTCTGTGTTTCCCTTCTCATTTTAGAAGCTGCCCATGCCTTTTCCCTGGTGCCTCTCAGAAGAGCCTTCTCCCTTGAATGGGAAGGTGTGGATTGTTTTCATCTTCTTAAGCTGCTGCTTCTCTACCTTCCCAATCAAGAAAGCTGTTTCTGCAAGAGTAGCAGAAATGAAGTCTATTTTAATGGTTGACTGTGAGATTCTGGGCTTCTGGTGGCTCTTCTCAGCTCTGTATACCGCACTGGTTGAAACAGGACTTAAGTTATTGACCTAAGGCATTGACATTGCAAGCAGAATGTCAGCACCCAGGAATGCTAGGGCCCTGCTGAAGAGGCAGGAGGTACAAACACCTTGTGATTACAAGGCTGGACACACACACACATTGATGAGCTCTAGAGAGCCATTTTCAGGAGACGGGGTTTTTGTTTTTCCTTGCTAGAAGTAAATTGAGACAATATTGATTGTCATGAAGCATTTAAAAGAAAACTCAGTACCTGCCCTCTTCCCCATACTTATGTGGGCATCATCTGTCTATCTTGGATTTGGGGAATCCGGTGGTAAGAAGCCAACATGGAGAAGTTCAGAAAGAAGTAGAGTAGAAGATAAAGGGAGTGCAGTCCTGGTATTTTTATTGCTGCAATGCCCTGATACAAAAGCTAGAAATAAGCTAAGTGAACTAAGTATAAGCTCAGGTTTGTATAAGAGGATGGGAGACAAGTGCCCTTGGTCAGAAACTATAAGGGCTTCTTTGCAGGAGAGTTGGGCTCACTGGATTTTTCATTCCCTTCATATTGCCCCATGCAAGTAGTCAGTCCCTCATCCAGAAAGGACGTGTGCACACAGCTGGTAGACCAAGAAGAAAAGGGAACAGAAATGCTTGTGGTCTCTTAGTCCAAATCTCAGACTTTAATGGGAACTTAAATGGATATGTCAACATTTGTGTAAAAATGAGAGTTCACTGGGATATGTCAACATTTGTGTAAAAACGAGAGTTCACTTGTTCTTTTAAACTTTGCTAACAAGTATCAGTACATCTGAAAGTATTTACTGAGCATCTCTTAGTATGTGTATCATTTGTATAAGTCACCAGGACGATACCAATACCATCCTGCAAAAAACCCATAGTCTACCTGAGCAGAGAGCCCCACATAAATATACACATACAGAGAGTATTAACTAGAGCTGAAGAAGACAATGAGTAAATGCCAAACTGGTGGTAAGACCGTGTCACGTTGCTTTGGATAAGGTAACTTGCATCGCTTGAACAGGCGAGGGAGATTTTATGAAAGGGGGTATGCTTGAGTTTTGCTTAAAAAGGTCAGTTGTATTTGGGCAGAATAATAATTGAACAAACTGAAGTCTCTTGTTTTCTTCCCTTTAACTGGCAAAGAAAACCTTGAGACTATGCTTTCAGACGATCAATTCAGCAGTGTTACTGCACCAGGAACCCCTTTGGTGCTGGGTAGGGGATCTTGAAGCTTTTGGCCTCAGGGAAACTCGCCACCCTCGTTTCTGACGCCTCTCTCCCCTCTTCCTCTCCCCCCTCTCTAGCTCCTTGCTGGTGCCGAGTCCCCGCAGCCCGCTTCTGGAGGCTCACCCTCTGAGGAAGACCGGTCCAAGTCAGCACCCACCTCCCCTTGTGACCAGGGTGAGACCCTCGGATTTGCTTCTTTGCCTCTGAGCTTGGTCACCAGAAGTTCAGAGGAGCTGAGGCCTCCCTACCCAAGAATGGCCCTGCGTCCCGAAACAGCCAGTGGCCCTGTTGACTCATTATCGGTTCCTTCACTCTACAAGGCTGTCTTAAGGGCAAGGCAGTAAATGCCTTTCTACCTAAATCCCTTCCAGGCCTGAGTAAGAGCCCCTTCTCTTACCACTGGGCCCCAGGCCTGTCAGCATCACTCAGTTTGACTTAATTCCTCCTGACTCTAACTATCACACCCGAAACCTGAGATCAGGGCAGGAGTCAGGGGATGGGTGGGGACGATGTCTCCTATCCTGGCCAGAGTGGGTGGGTGGAGATAGGACAAAGCTGGGGAAGAGACTGCAAGAAGTGGGCAGGAAGCCAGCTCTGGGCCTCGCTCCTCTGTCAAGCTCAGCTCAGGCTATCTCCTTCCTCCCCATAGGGATGAGTGTAAAGTAATCAGAAGTTTCTTGTTTTGTTTTTTAATTTTTAATGTATTTTTATTGATTTCAGAGAGGAAGGGAGAGGGGGAGAGAGAGAGAAACATTAATGATGAGAGAGAATCATTGATCAACTGCCTCCTGCACGCCTCAATTGGGGATCAAGCTGGCAATCCAGGCATGTGCCCTTGACCAAGAATCGAACTCTGACCTCCTGGTTCATAGGTTGATGCTCAACCACTGAGCCACGCTGGCCGGGCAGAGGTTTCTGATTCTGCTGGCGGAATGGTGAGGCTGAGAAGGGACTTAGACACTTCAAACTTCCCCTCTGGTGACCAGAACCAGGCGTCACTGGGGAGGGAAATACGCATCTGCAGAGCAGGACTAATTGTATTGCGTTAGAGCACCTGGGTATCTTGAAGCCTCTTTTGTGGTCATTATCCAAATTCTATGTTCACACCAACTCTATGCTGGTGCTCCTTTACTGTCCCCATGTTACATGGTGGGAAGTGGAAGTTCAGAGACTTGCAAAGATTTGTCCAAACGTTAGTGGATCCACGCCAGTGGTAAAGGGCAAGACCATGCCCCTCCTGGCTTAGGGACCCCACTCTCCGAGTCTGTGCCATCAAACCAGCCTCCCAGGTCATCTTACCCTGCAGATGTGACCCAGCTCTTCGTACCCAGGAGTAAATAAAACAGCTGCGGGGCAGTGTGCCAGTCCTGAGGCCACAAAATAATTGGTCTGAGTCCCTCTTTGTGCTGCTCTGCTTAACTTGTCCATCAGTCCAAAAGAGGCTGAACCCATTTATAAGGCATCTGATGATGCTTGGTGAGCTCTAGATGAGCAGGTATTATCCTGGACCAGCGTGGGTGTTTTCCTGTTTCCCTTTGAGAACTTCAAGGAGATGGGGTCCTATGGTAAAGAGGCCCTAGTAAGAGGGAGGTGACCCATTTTCTATGTGGTTTCTGCCCAGTGTGCTTCCCAGCTTTGGCAGGGCGCAGTACCTCCCAGGGCCTCTCTCTGTCCCCGGTTAATGCAGGTGCCAGTATTACCCAGCAGTGACATGTGCACAGATGAATGTGAAAACCCTCTTAGCAAGACCTGGCATTATTATGAAACAGAAATAAGACACGGTTTCTCTTTGCTCCATTGTAAGGACATAGACATTTTCTTCAAGCTTCAGTATCCCTAAACACCCAAGTTCTATCTTCCAAACTCCATTTACTAACTTGCCTTGGAAACAGACTTTTTGCTCTATGCTGAGGCTAAAAGTTATATTTAGTGAAGAGTATGTGATAGGACTCTGCCGATTGGGTCAGGGGATAGCAGAAGGCTCAGAAGCTCTCCCCATGCCTCCCCTTCTCAGGGGAGCCAAACACCAGATCTACGGAAGATCCCAGGTTCCTCGAGTGCGCTGCCGTGGGCCTCAGTCTTCTGAAAGAAGCTGAAGATCTCTTTAGGTCAAGCTCCTGGTCGCTCATGCCTGATTCTGATTCCCACGCGTTAGAGTCTATGTTCCTCTTGTGCAATCCCAGTGTTATTCACGAGTGTCTTAAAATTGGATTATGCTCAAGATGCCCATATCTACAAGAGGAATGTACATCTGGGTGAATTAATAGCTCACAATAAAGCTTCCTCAAAGAGAAAAGGTCTGAGGCTCACCCAGCGTTATCAGCCCCAGGGAGTTTGCATTACAGCCTTGCGTCCCTCCGGCCTCACCATTGTGAAATTGTACCGAGAATCCTGCCCCATCTGAGATACATTTGCAGCATGTCCCTGTGGGGAAGCAGTTCTTTGGTTAATGATAAGCTCCTTGCTTGTTTTGTTAAATAACCTTGCATGGGATGGGTATTTAGAGTAAACCCAGCAACAAAGCCACATAAAGTCCTTTAGAAGATGAAATAATTCCATCACCAAGATTACTGTGATGACAGTTCTCAGTGAGTCGTTACTCTAATCTTCAAAGGAAACTCAAAGGTTATCCGTGGCCTTTGGAACTCTGCAAGGTTCCCGAGAAGGCTGGGATTCTTGCACTAACCAAGAACAATTGGACAGGCCACTAGCCAAAGGGGGCTTGCAGAGAGGTGGCTGTGGTCCAGTCTACGCTGAAGGAGTTGGTTGCTGGGCTGTGTCCTCCTCTTTGCATGCCTAGGCCCTGCTGTATGTTAAGTGCCAATGAAAGTGTGTCAATGAAGGAACATAAAGGAATGCCATACCGGATCTGTTGTTATGAAAAGCCAAAAAAAAAAAAAATGGTGGGGACTCATGGGGATGAAATTCTGAGATCTGAGGGCTCGTGAGCTGTGCACTAATGCATTATCTTGTCTCCTCGGCTCTAGAATTAAAAGAACTTGAAAACAACATCCGGAAGGCCTTGTCATTTGACAACCGAGGGGAGGAGCACAGGGCAGCAGGGTCCACCGACGGCCAGCTGGCGAGCCCCGGAGAGAACGGTGAAGTCCGGCAAGGCCAGACCAAGCGCTTGGGCCTGGATGAGTTCAACTTCATCAAAGTGTTGGGCAAAGGCAGCTTTGGCAAGGTCTGTGGCCTGTGCGGGCAAAACTGCTGATTTTCTCTGCCCTGGGCATCTGCCCCCTCATTTGTTTGATATAAGATGAACCTTTCGGCTTGGTCTTGTTCTACTTTCCTTCCTTACTGAGTGGAAGTGGCCTGAGGCCAAGCAGATAGGAACTGGGGTTCTGCTCTTAACTGTCTGGGGACGTTAGTGTGGGCCTTTTCCTTCTTTGGGATTCCGTGTAGCCCACTTGTCAAATGGGGATGGGAATCAAGTGACGTAATAGGTTGAGAAAGCACTCTGAAAAGTTTAAATTGCTTTCCATGTGCTTGGCATTCCATTATCAATAATGGTAACAATACTGTTCTTCCCTCCATCAGAGAGTCATCTGAAGTTCTGGTTTTAATTCATTATATAGACTTTGAAAATGAACTCCAGCATGTGTGCCCTCTGTGAACTCGGGGCTCAAAACAAGTCTTAGCACATGTTACCGTGGAAGTTAACTGTTACGTAACTGACTTTTCTGGCACTTACTAAACGCTTTGTTTAACCTCTGTTTGTGCCAGAAAATGGGAATAATCACCTCCTCTCTTGGATCAGGGTCCTCTGCCCTTGCTGCCATCCTCCCTATCCTGCTCCCCACTGGGACGGACACAGTGGTATGGAGTGTGGATTGAGGGGGTGCTCAAATACAGCATTCCTGGTGATCAGCCACCATTCTGAAGGTGGGTGCGATGGAAAAATAATTCCTGCTCATTTAGAAAAAAAGATGGACAGCCTGGCTGGTGTGGCTCAGCGATTGAGCATTGACCTGTGAACCAGGAGGTCACTGTTCAATGTTCAGTCGGGCACATGTCCAGGTTGTGGGCTCAGTCCTCAGTAGGTGGCATGCATGAGGCAGCCGATCAATGATTCTCTCTCATCATTGATTTTTTTTTATCTCTCTCCATTCCTATCTGAAATCAATAAAAATAATTCTTTAAAGAAAAGAGATGGACAGGCAGAGAGCCTAAGAAGCTGGTTAACATTTCAGCTGTGATTTTTGCTCTTCGGCTGTTCGCAAAGCCATGCCTGGGAGTGGATGAGCATTGTTTTTTGAGGACCTCCTGGAGTAGAGAGGCCCTACCCCAGAGCCCAGGCACCTGCCTCTGGGACCTCCTGGGGATCACATGCCCTCACAAGTCAGGCTGTGGGTTAGGAAGCTTGCTGGGGGACAGAGCCACTCCACTCCTAGGAGAATGGCTCTGTGAGCCTCCAGGGTACAGAGCTTGGTTCCTGGCCCATCTCACCTGCCCCATCTCAGTCTGAGATCAATGCTGCAGGAAGTAACTGGATCTACTTAAATGGCAAAGGCTGAAGTAATCACATTCTTTAGAGACGGCTAAATAAGAAGCAGACCCCAGTCCTCTGGCCGGCATAACTCAAGCATGTGAGCAGCTTTCATTGTGAGCAAGATTCATGGGGAATGAGCAGCCTCAAAGGCTACAGGGTTCTATATGGCGTGTGGCCAGGATGGGAACTCTGATGATTCTGAAGCATCTACATTGTTTCTTAGGAAAAAATCACAGTCACAGTGAGCCAGTTTTAAAGAGTTTGCATTTTATGTGGGCAACTAAATGCCTTCACAGTGACATCCTGAATTCCCTCATTAAGCTTCTGAGTTACTGCTCTTTAGTTCTAACTTTTACCCTGGAACTGTACTGAGGAGTTAAGTTATTAAATGGGAGAAAGGCTTGTCACATTTGTAGGGAAATGAGCGCAAAAATATTAAATGATAAAACAAATTTAAGAAACAGAATTGTTCATTGGTTCTCTGGAGAAGGAATTACAACTCCTACCTTTAAAGCTACAGAAGAAACCACAAAGGTAAACAAGGGCAGGTTCAACTACAAAAAGATAAATAATCCTGTTTAATAGAAAAAAGAACAGAAAATTATGAGACAAATTTAGAAAAACCTTTACAGAAAGTAAAGTGATAGTATGTTTATGGACCAAGTGCATACAAATATGTAAGAGGAAACTGACAAATAGTTCATACAAAAGAAATTTACTTAGAAAACAAATATTTAAAAAGTTTATTGCAAGTTAAAACAGCACTGAGGTAACATTTCACACTCATTACATGAACAACATAGCTTTTTAAGTGAAGCACCCAATGTTGGTAAATCGCTGGGAAACCAAAGCACGTCTCCTTTGCTAGTGGCACATTATATTGTACATCCTTTTTGAAAATCAGGCATGTGCAAATATTTAACCCCATAATCCACTTCCACCACTTTCTATCTTAAGGACATGATTCAAAAGAAATAAAGAAATTATATGTACAAAAATATTCTCTGCAATTTTTATATAGTACTTAATAATTACTTGTAACTCAAGTGTTTCCTAGGAGGTAAAAGTTTAAATAACTTTGTAATATATTTACTTGAATTATCAGACATCATGATAAAGATGAAGACTGTGTAGAAAAATGCTTATGAAATACTGTCTGGTTAAAAAAACACACTATGGCCGAAACCGGTTTGGCTCAGTGGATAGAGCATCGGCCTGTGGACTGAAAGGTCCTAGGTTCGATTCCGGTCAAGGGCATGTACCTTGGTTGCGGGCACATCCCCAGTGGGGAGTGTGCAGGAGGCAGCTGGTCGATGTTTCTCTCTCATCGATGTTTCTAACTCTCTATCTCTCTCCTTTCCTCTCTGTAAAAACTCAATAAAATATATTTAAAAAAAAAAAAAACACACTATGCTATATTTGCCATACTCCAAGTGCAAGTATGACAAATGTATATAAACATGTAGATAATTATTTAACAGATGTGCATTGAACTTTTCTTTGCCCAGACACCGTGTTAGGGATTAAAAGTAATTAAGTGGTAGTAGCTGTATTGGGATGGGTAGTTTCTCTAGACATTTTTAAAAGCTTTGATACTATTTAAAATGAATGAAAGGAGTCCATTTTTAAGCACTTGGTATTGATGCGTGTTTCTTCTCTCCCTACGTGTATATACTGACAGGGTGGTTTTGATTGATTGCAGGTCATGTTGGCGGAGCTCAAAGGCAAAGACGAAGTATATGCTGTGAAAGTCTTAAAGAAGGACGTCATCCTTCAGGACGACGATGTGGACTGCACGATGACAGAGAAGAGGATTTTGGCTCTAGCGCGGAAACACCCATACCTAACCCAACTCTATTGCTGCTTCCAAACCAAGGTATGCTTGGGCCGAAGCTGGTGGGTCGCCATCATGGGGCAGCGCTGGGGGACATCTTAACTGTCTGATGAAAGATCAATTATAGACTCTCTACATTCTTTCTCAAAAACCTTGTAAAGTGGAATGGATTTTGCCCTTGAGAAGATCAGGGTGTATTTGAAAAGCATCCTCTTTTGTAAAGGCCTGGAATTTTCCATCCAGGATTATGCTTGTGAGGGGATGAGAGCCAGCCGCGGAACTCTTTGCAGATGTAGCTGGACAAAGCCGAATGACTAAGCCCAGCCAACAGGTGTGGCTCGTTCTGGCTCTGCTCTAACTTATCGCTGCACAAATCACTAAAGCTCTATGCTGTTTTCAGGGCAAATGAAAGAGAATAAAGGCCACCCTCACCGCTCCTAGCTTGCATAATGTCATAGGAGGTAAAGGATGTAAACAAGTGCTTAAAATGCCATAGGGCAATACAAATAAGCGGCATTTTAAATTTACCATGTAGGAACCCGGTTACCAGAAGGTGGCAGTAAAGAAACAAAGATAATCTGTAACCACATCAGAAAGTCCGACCTCTGATTGAGTTGTTTCTTATTCTGAGTGAGGAAGAGAAATGCCAGCATTCTTTATGACGCTCTTATTAGGGGGGAAAAAAAAAAAAAGGTCAAGGTCTCTTAGGATGCCTTACGGATTTGTAGCTCTTGGCTTCTTGCAAAGGTGAAGGCAACCTCACCTGAAACTCTTACTTGTGCCCACCGGGAGCCCAGACCGTGAAGGTGCCATCATGGAGAGATGAGTCCCTGCTCTTGGCACAGTCTCACCCCCATGTCATTATGAATGCATGTCTTTCTGCTTAGAATTCAGCAGTTACTCATTGGGTCATTTGGCAGATTTTTAGTTAATTATATTATATCGAATCATTCCCTGGTGCCAGGTGTTGAAGATACATTGGTAAGCAAGGCAGAGACCCTGACTTCAGGGAACTTATGTCTCTTTGGCACACTGTTTCCCAAAGAGTGTTGCTCAGAACCCTCCTCACTTGGGAAACTCTAAGAATGAAGGACTCTGTGGCACATACTTTGAAACGCTGCCATCTTGACTTCTCTTGGAGTATCTCCATATACACTTGCTTAAGTAAGTCCTGGAGGAGACCTGCAATGAAAAAAAGCTACTTTTATGTAATCTACTATTTCGTAATTATTTGATCCTCACCATTCCAGACTGAGAACCACATCTAATGGAATTTTTCTAATCCCTCTGATCCCTCAGAAGAAAGAAATGTCCTCAGAAAATGTGGAAATCCCTTTTCTGAACAAGCACAGGACTTATATTAGCTGCCCTTGTTTTTTATGTGCATTACGAAGGGCCAAAGGCCTGTGCATTTGTGTGTATATGTACACACACAAAGGCCCAACATGATGATAGAGGATCAAAGTCAACTTTCTTCTTTTCTCCACTTGAACATGATTCTCGGTTAGTGAGAAATGTGTCCAGTATGTCTTTATCTCCCCGGTGCCTGTCCGACGGCCTCACACCTTGTAGGTGTGCACTAACACCCCGGGGGGGGGGGCAGTCTAGCTGTGAGTCCCCTGTAGCTGGTGGAGCGTGGGCAGTCCCTGTGGAGGAGCAGCTGCCCTGCACCCCTTGGTGAATGTGTGGGGGCATGAGTGTGGGTGTCTTCAGGGCCAGCGGTGTTCTCCTGGTGCATCTCAGAACATCAAGGCTGACTTCCTCATCGTGAGGCAGCGCTGGGAGCACAACATGGTGGTGAATGACACCATGGGTTTCCTTTATGGGAAAACAATAACCAAACTGACGTGGAGATTGGGGTCTGGGTGGCTGGGGGTGAGGCCGGGGAGAGGAGAGACTTTCCTCTGTGGTTCAGAGATTTACTCACACCTTCTCAGGCCACTATCCGGCAGCCACAGTTACGGGAGCAACTTTGTCCTGTGCCACCACTAGTCAGGGGAACACAACACGCCTCACTCTACAGATGTCTGTGCATCTGATTTTCCTAAAGAAGATCATATTTAACTTCACCGAAGGACCTTCACTTACTAATGAAAGGAATGCTGTGAAGAGTCATTTTATAAACCTCCAACTGAACTTTTAGAAAATGTGACCGGTAGGCATGGCTTTAATGAGTAGCTGTTATTCACCTGGCTCTGAGTTCGGTGCTAGATGTGGGGTTTTCAGCAAAAAGGAAGATGATTCTCAAGTAGGTGGGTTTATTAAATAAAGAACGGGAGGTATCTAATTTCCATAAGCAAGCAGAGCAGCAAACAGCAAACAGCATTGCACACTTACATTCTGGGCGGGGGGTGGGGGTGTGTGTGTTCAAACCAGGAGGAATCGGAGGAGAGGGTGCTGGTTAGTGTCTGGAGAGGGGAAGGAGCTCAAGCCAGGCTTTGCAGAATGGGGAGGGTGGGGGTGGGAATGGGAGCTGGGTTAAGTAGCCATGGTTGGGTCCTGTTTTAGTTTCACTTTTTCTGAAAAGAAAGGACCATTCCTCTGAGCCTCCCCGGATTGGTTTCAACCAGGACTTTGTACGTGATTAAGGACCACAGGACCCGATTGCAATCCTTGTAAGATGTCTTGCCTTCTTCTTTAATTTAGACACACAGAGCATCGCTAGTGTTAGGTCAGGTTTAATTATCTTTAGGCGAGCCTTTATTTTTCAGTTCGTAGGACCAAAACAGCCCCTATGGGAACATTCCAGAGAGATCGCACATGGCTTCTGGTTATTACATAGGTTGCTGGCGGCACTGACTATGTGTGAGATGCGGGTACTGTGTCTGATAGGATGACTGATGGCAATGATTGTGCAAACCCATTGGCATCACTCATGAACTCAGGTAACGTTAGTTCTGGTCACTATAGGCCATTGAATGACCAAGTTACAGTTAAAGAAGGATTTGGCCTTTTCTGTATACCAAGCCCACTTGCCCTTGGCTCATTGCACACTGATCATCCTCCATGGGATCTGGATGGGAAAAGGCCAATGGAATGGTAGCTCTCCAGAGCCAGTGAGAAAAGGCACACAAACCAGTAAATTACGTGAATAACATTAATTTCAATCAAATTTAAATTGGGTGTTTGACTGGAGTTCCCTCTATGCTGTGCGCTCTTTGCGATGCTAGAATAAATGGAAACAACCAGGGAATGCTACAAAATTGTATTTAATTAACTGTCAAATGTATTGGATGAAAAGAAGCTAAGGGACTCCTGACTCCAGGCAAGATGGAGTAGCCTCATTTCTCTTAGGTTCTCTTTCTTACAATTAAAAATCCCTGGGCATAATTCTTATTTAATAAAGGCATATGCTCATCAAGACAGATATAGCCATAAAGAATTACAGAAATTGTACTACCTGTTGATGTGCATGAGAAACTAAGACTTTCATCTTTAACATTGCCAGATGATGTAATGGTGTTAAATTAGTAGCATGCTAAATATTTTCATACATGCACGTACACATAATAATTGTTTTTTGATTAGAAAAAAAAAGGTATGGCCTGTAATTATTTCAATGAATGTACATGTATTTATTGAGCATGTGTTACATGTCAGACACTGTTAGATTCTGGGGCTACAACACTCACAAGCTATTGACTCTAAATTCATGGAGATTTCTATCTAGTGGGGAGAAAGACACACAGAGTGATATTCTATAGCATAGTAGCTCTTCTGATGGAGCCATTTAGGTGATTTCTTTGAAGCCCTGCAGAAGGTAGTTTGGAAGGCTTCCTGGAAGAGATAGAATCTAACCTGGACCATGAAGCATGGGTAGCATTTGGAAGAGGATAAAGGCAAAGAGATGGCTGATAAGACCTAGAATTTATCCCCAAATCTCGTTTTCATTATTATTTTTCCAAAGCTACACCCCTCAAGCATTCTGTGTCCTACTTCCTCCAAGGAAATGACAATGGCTGAATAACAAGGAAGGAGAGGAAGAAGGGGAGGATATTTGAAAAATAGGGAAATTCTTTCATCTGTAAGATCAGATACTGGTTGCTAGAGAGGGGAAGGTAATACTGTGAGCCTTCTTTATGGGGAGGGGGCACTTAGCTAGGCTCTGAAAGTTATGGGCTTGGTGAATCAGGCCCTAGGGGGAGGAGCGACTTCAGGAATTGCTCTTTCTGGGCTCCCATTTTCCTAGGGATAGGAAAGCCTCTGGGTCATAGGTTTGCTTTGTTTTTGTTTTTATAGTTACAGGGAATAAAATTCTCAGGCATTTTTAGATTCTGTGCATGATCCCCATTGTGAATCATCATCTTCCAACTGGATCCCACAAACCCTGACTTGAATAAGTTCATCCATGACTTTTCGTCTTTCTCTCTCCCTAATCGACCCCATCCCCCACTCTTTGGCATTTCCTGCCAGGCCTGGGAAGCCAGCTCAGGGAGGGCTTTGCCTGTGTGAGCTACTGCTCAGGAAACTGAGGTTGAGCTCCTGAAGAATCACCCTGGGCCAGCCTCCCTCGCTGCCCTGGGGAAATGCAGGATGGAAAAATCCTTAAAAAGCAGCTGGAGACATTTTTCAAATGAGTCTTAGTTATCAGTATGCGCTTAGAATTCAATAGTTACTTATTTGGTCATTTGTCAGATTTTCTTTTTTTTTTTTAAATATATTTTATTGATTTTTTACAGAGAGGAAGGGAGAGAGATAGTTAGAAACATCGATGAGAGAGAAACATCGATCAGCTGCCTCCTGCACATCTCCCACTGGGGATATGCCCGCAACCCAGGTACATGCCCTTGACCGGAATCAAACCTGGGACCCTTCAGTCCGCAGGTCGACGCTCTATCCACTGAGCCAAACTGGTTTCGGCCATTTGTCAGATTTTCAGTTAATTATATTATACTAGAGGCCCAGTGCATGAAATTTGTGCACGGTAGGGTCCCTAGGCCTAGCCGGCAATCAGGGCTGATCTGTGGGGCGACTGGCAGGGCGATTGGGGATTCCCCCCACACCCCCCTGTTGGCACCCACCTTGGCCGGCCTGGCACTGCT